ATCTCCTATACTAAGATATTCAAAATTCTCTTATGTATAAAAGCAAATTTTGTCCATATATTTACATCTCCACATAGGAAATACTAGCAAAGCTAAAACTTGCGAAATCAACTAGTCTCATGGAGAATTTTGTTCGTGCAATGTCTGAAGTCGAAAGTCAATATATCATGTGACTTCAGTGTTTTGTTAAAAAAACATAGTAAAATTTCGATATATCAAGAACAAAGATCTGAAAAACCAAAGCATTCTAGACATTTCTATTACTTACTAGCACTCATCAAATAAATATCATCTCTGTGGAAAAGTGATTGGACACTTGGAAAGGCTTCCTCGTCGAAAAAATTCCTCATTAGTCTATTGTCTATCTATTCATAGCTAAACCATTGAAAATTTAAATCCGTTTGATAATTAAAAATGTTCTCTGAAAGTTTGTTTTTTCTTTTGTAGCCACAGCTGTCACATTAAAATCTCAGGAATTTCTAATTGATGCTAAAGTTCAACATCCATCAGAAAATAAATCTCAAAATTCTAAATTAACTTATACATATCCATATGGAACTATTTCAAGTCCAAATTATCCACAAAATTATCCAAATAATATTGTAAGAAAAAATATTTAAATAAACAATAAATTCAACTTATTCTTAGATATGTCGTTGGCATTTGTATCATCAACATGCGTTTATACGTTTATATATTAATGATTTTCATACTGAGTTACATTATGATACATTAACATTATATCTTGGTCAAAATTTAAATAATCGTGCAATGATTTTGCATGAATTTTCAGGTTATGATATTGATAATAAACATTTATTTATTCGAAACGATGATTTATTTCTTATATTCAATACTGATAAATCATATAATGCATCTGGTTTTTCTCTTGAGTATCAAATTATGGAAAAAGGTAAAATATATCATTTTTTCTCTGTATTAAAATTTTACTTTAGTGAAATACAATTTAAAAGAAGTATTGAAAAGTAAACTGACAGATGAGCTTTCTGACACTTGAGCCTGACATAACGCATGGTTCAAAGAAATACAAGAAAATAAGTTTTATTTAAATAAGTCCACATTCATATCCAAAATTGAATAGAACTGTTGCTCATTTAAAGTATAAATCTCTTTTTTCAAATGAAAAATCGAAATTAGTTATTCTAAGTTTTCAACAAGAAGTTCATATCTAACACGTTCCTTTCTTTTTTTTTACAAGTTCGGCTTGCAATTGTTCAGCCAGTATAAAATTCGGGTGTTGTTACTTTTTCAAATCTTTGATAGATTCATAAATTGATGGACTATTGTATCCAAGAAAATAGATTAGAAATTAACATTGCTTTAATAGCTCGAAACCAATCTTCAGAAGGGTATATCAGTTAATGTGAGTCAAGAGAAGATGTACTAGCCAAACTTACAACTAAAGAAGCTTGTTAAATATGAACTCCTTGATGAAAAATTATAACAACTAATTTCGAATTTTCATTTGATAACAAGAGACTTATACATTAGACGAGCAAGAGTTCTGTTCAAGTTTGGATCTAAATATGAACTTATTCAAATAAAACTATTTTCTTGTATTTTAATTTGTTTCTTATGAAACGTGGCTCAAGTATCGAGAGATCATCGATTGTGTCACTATGTTAGAGTATAGGAATCGCAATTTGCTCTCTCCTCTTCCCCCATAGACCTCACAGACATAGCTATAGGAATGTCGCAGACGTCGTTGATATACAGCATGATTATAGACGCTATATGACCTAGTGGTGCACTAATTTCAGTCTCAAACTGATCAACTACTACTTATTTAGTTGCTTCAACAATATTTGATTTGTTTCCAAGTCAGTTTAATTACATCAACTTAATGCTATAAAAATACTGAAAAGCATCGAGAATCTTTTTGTCCCTGTACTGGTTTCGCACAGGTGCATGCCTAAATGACTAAGTAGTAGCTATCATATAGAACATACTATTCTCTACATAGGGGATGAGAATTTACCATTACTAAGTAACGGAAATTTCGTGTACTTGAGTTTTTCACTAAAGAAAGGCTTTTTTTTTTGAAAAAGTAACAATTTTTTATATAAAGTTTGATTAAAGGCCTTTGGAGTAGAAATAATTTGACCGAGAAATCAAGTACATAATTTTGAAAAAGCAATTGCAGCTTCATATTCCTCGATTCTAAACATCTTTGCTCAAACTTTATAAAAATTTATTACATTCTCAAAAAAACCCTTTCTTTAGTGAAAAACTCAAGTATACGAAATTTCCGTTACTTAGTAATGGTAACTTCTCATCCCCTATGTAGAGAATAGTATGTTCTATATGATAGCTACTACTTAGTCATTTAGGCATGCACCTGTGCGAAACCAGTACACGGACAAAAAGATTCTCGATGCTTTTCAGTATTTTTATAGCATTCAGCTAATGTAATTAACCCTTTCAGTCCCATAGTAGCAAAAAGGCTACACATGTTTTATAATTCTTTTTCATAACAACAATTAATAAAAATTGGTACTTAGTATATTAGAATAAAATAATAGAGAATGCTCTAAGATCCTCCTAAACAATCTGTCAATGAGACATATAGTTATTCATTGGGAAAGTTATGGGATGTTCTCAAACATTTTTTTTTAAAGTATTGAAGACGGCGTTTCGGATTAATCCAGATCTCCAAAAATTAGTATGCAACCTGAGCGGAGTACCGAATTCTTTTCTAATTTGCTACTATAATACACGTTGTCTCTGTAACAGAAGTAAATGGATTATGATAAAGAAATTCATACAAGGGAGTCATCTTTTGATGATAAAAATGATTCTTAGGACGAAAACGAAGGTGACTTTGAAATAGATGAAAAAGACGACACTGTCGAAATCGAAAGGGAAGCAGTTGAATTCCTTTCTTTTATCTCAACGTCATTAACTAATGACTAAAGTTGACGGAAAAGAAGAAGCAAACCTATCCGCTTTTCTACGAGAAAGGAAAAAGAAATCCAACAAACGTTGTGGAACAAATCTTCATCAGCTCAATTATCAGCACATATGAG